TGATGATCCAAAATTTGTTATTGATCATCTTGCTAATGAAATACCAATTAATGATAATAATAAAACTGTTCAAGGTTCATCACAAACTATTGAAGAAACAGTTGAAATTACACAAATTTAAATTGACATACTATTCCATTTGTAAATAGATTTTAGTATTAGGAATATTACTTTTCTTTTCTTGAATATTTACGTATGTTAGTAGATATACTCTTGCTTTTGTTTGCTGTGTAGGTAATAAATGACATATTATAATTATTATTGATTATAAACTTTAAGAATTTGTTTATAATAAATAATCAGATGTAATCAACATCAATGAAATAATAGAATAATGGATTGATATCTTAATGTAATCATAAATAAGCATTTAACAAGACAGATCATACAGATAAATAAAATCATGATCTTCTATATGTACTCAGTCATACTTTGATATAAATCAATTAACAAAACATATTAAAATAATATATCGAGACATTTTTATAATGCGATAACATTATTCTACTTAACGATAATATAGAAAAGAATACAATAAAACATAAGAAGTATCATACATGTCTAGTTAGAAGTGTATTCTTTTGATATATCAATATTTCATATTATCTTATTTATCTCAAGAGTATAAATCATCAAAAAAAGACTACTTTATAATATAGTTCAATGAATACTTATGTAATATTGAATACATATTTATAGAGTGCATGCTGTGCCATCTCATGATTTGAAATATATTGAAACAATTTAACACTGTCAAAATCTATTCATAAAACAAAAAAGACATAGAGGCATACAACGCGTGCATGTTAGAGCAAGAGTATGATGTAACCTCATGGATTTGTGGTACATATATTATTTGTTCAAATTATAGTTTCTTTTTTTTGACCTTGTAAATATGTCCTACATTGATATACAATCAATAATTAGGTCAGAATTGAATTCATCTTAATTATAGTATTTATATTGAACAAAACTTTTCAAATCCATTTAATAATTAGAATACAAATCTAACGAAATTATGTATAGAATTTGTCAAAATATTAGCATTGTATCTAAATATATCTGCTATTATGATATCAATCAAAATTTGATTGTATTACAGTATTCTCGATTGTTGTATCTTCACAAAAGCATAAGTATGCTTTTTGGATGTGAAAATATCGTTTCCGTTCAACATGTTCTTTCTAGGCATTTTACATTACTTAAAAAAAACAATTACTAATTCCTTAATACTTATTGCTCATAGCACATTATATTACTTGACTTTTTTATTAGCTACTCTCAATCAGATTGATTTCCGAGTGAGTAAAAAGAGACTATTTTCAATGACGTTGTAGAGCATCGATAACATAGACAATTATCTGAATAACATCACTTTACTATTAATAATAATCTCGAAATATTTCAATAAATATGTTATTACAAAAGGTGATTAAATCAAATTCTGATGAAGGTAAAAAATATTCTATAAGACAATCATCAACATCTGAAAATCTTCCAGTAACTTATGAAATTCCACGAATGCCACGAGAAAAAGAAATTATTGAAGTATATTCATATAATTTAATTATCAATTATTTATTTTTTATTTTAAAGAATGTTATAATTTTATGTATATTTTGTAATGGTCCTTGTATTGATGATTCTATTCATTGTGGTGTTTGTATGAAAACTTATCATTATCAATGTCGATATGAACTTGATAATGTTAATGATCAATCCAGTTTATTGCCAAGTCTTCGAAAACAATATAATAGTTGTTTAGAATGTGTAATGTTTTATTTCTTTTTTTTGTCTTTTCTAGATTATCTTGTTTTGATTTTCATTTAGGAAGATCTGACACAATTATTAACTGAAGATGAAATTAATTATTTAATTTCTATATTCAAACATATTGATCAAGATAAAGGTTAAATTATAATTCATAAAAACCAATATTTTTTATCGAAAATATTTTAGATGGTTTTATTATCTTAAAAGATTTTCTCGCATTTTGTACGAATGGAATATTATTAGATAAATTTCATTTATTTACTTTGAATAATATTGATTTAAATAAAGTACATTTTAATATAATGGATTCAAGACAAAATAGGAATGTTGCATGGGTGGATTTTGAACGTTTTTATATTTGTAAATTAATTGCTGCAAAAAATCAAGTCAGTATTCATTTTCTTTTTTGTTGTTGTTTACATTATCTATTTTCAGATTGAATTAACAACAAAATTAAGTGAGAATGAATTGATGGTAGCAAAACGACTTTATATGACAGATCCACATTTAAAAATTGATAAGAAACGTAATTTAATTATAACGAAACGTCATTTAAATCAAATTTCACATGAACTTATAGTAACAAATAAGTTTGTAGAAATATCATTAGAGAAAAAAACGAAAAATAATGTTGTCATTTTTTAGAAAGAAATATGGAGGTAATTTTATTGATGCTATTTTACATGAAAATGAAAATATTGACGAAATATTTGAGTAAAAATTCTTAAATAATAGTATCATTTACATATTCCGTTTTTGTTTTAATTTAGAAAACGTTCTGTTATTACTTGGGATAAGTTTCTTTGTGAAATATGTATATCAATTATTTTAAATCGTTCGAATTATGAAATAAACAATCAAGAGGCAACTATTCATTCTTCATATATTAATTTGCAATATGATACAACAAATAAGTCCGATATAAATATATCATCAGATTTATCATTTATGAAATCATTTTATAGACATAGAAAAATCATAGAAAAATTAAAACAAAAACATTTTGATTCATCAAGTACATGGTCTATTGTTGAAAATGAAGATACTTATGATTTACTAAAATTGAAAATTAATGGTAGAGATGAACGACAAACAATAAGTGAACCATGGTCTATTGTTAAAGAAATGGAACGATTAAGAAATAAACCAATATTTATTACAACAACTACTCAAATACTTTAAATTTCCTTTCTAAATATATGTTATTAGTTTGAATATAATATACATCAATAAATACCCCGGACTGTTCATTTTAGATGAATAAATAACGATGAATTATAATAGTTAAAGTCGTTTTGGTGTTGAGACTTTGGACCACTACTGTGCGAGTTTGATTGAAGACAGGACGAGAACAATTTTGGCCTTTTCCAACCATCATCAATATTGTAAAGAATCTGCTATCTCTATATTTATAAAAACACTATGAAGTTGTCCTTGACTGAGACTTGTATGTTTACTAAATGTTATAGAGAAGTATACTGTTTGTTGAATTTTAAGAAGCTTATGAATGTAGTTAGGTAAATATCTTATTCAAAGTTGGTTTCTATATCTTAATTGAATTTCTATTTCATATGCTAGTTTATTTCTATTTAAATAGTACTGAATAAAATATATGTTTATTGATGAAAAATTTCTTTAAATGTTTATAAAATAATAGAAAATTGAGTTTATTCATTATTTTCAGAGATATCTTCATTAGCAAGAGCTCGTCGTAAATCTTCTGTATCTTCTTGTAATTCACGTTCATATAAATGTAAATCTTGTTCAGATGCCATTGATTCCTCATCAATTTGTTCGCGTTTTACTCCAAGTTCTAAGATAAATAAAAACAAAAAATAATTTTCTTCAATAGCAAAATAGAATTTTTACTTTTATCGCAACTTATTCCATAGTGAGGCGATTTACATCTACAATAAAATGTTGTACGTAATCCAACACATTCACCTCCATTACGACAAGGTGAACTAGCACAATGATCTTTACGTGCACGATCATTATTAGCTGCACCAGTTGACATAAATTCTAGAAGATCGATCATATACAATTATAAAATATAAACAATCGATTTTCTTACTATTATCACAAGTTTTTCCATAATAATCTTGTGAACAGAAGCAATAATAGTTACCACTTGACAATGTTTTACATGTACCACCATTTTTACATGGATTAGTAAGGCCACATCCATCTTTATTTATTAATTATTCAATAGTAACTATAAGATTAATATGAAAGTTATAACTAACCTTTAGGTGATTTAGTTGTTTGACGACTAACACTAGTTCGAGATGAGCCAGTAGTTTCTATTTGAAACAAAGATTATTAACAAAAAGAAGAAGTATTGTGAAGATGACGAATAATATTTACTAGCAATAGAACTACCACTTGTTTTTTTGCCAAACATACCACCAAATACTGAATCTTTTGTCGTTGATTGAACTCTACCTGCCGAAGTTGTTGTAATTAAAGCTGAAATTGAATCTGAAGTTGGCTTCTGAGTAGTTGTTTTTTTCTTTCCCAAAAAAACGTTTAATGGTTTCAATAAAATCTTAAATATAACGAATATATTTTACATTCAATTAAAATAATTTTTACCATCTTCATTATTGCGATCATTGTTACTTGCAAAATCGATAGCTTCTTCATCATCTTGACGATTATCATTACGAGCACGTTCAGCATGTAACACTGAAACAAATAATGTTATAGCTAAGATAGCAAAACATAAACGACGATCGACCATCTTTTTTTTTCTTTTTGCTGAAAATATATATGTATAAGAATAATAACAAAATTTTTGTATTATATATATTCGATAAAACTGATTTTATCCATTTGTGTTGACAAAGTAATTATCCATAATATAGATAGATATTAGAGATAAGACAATGAATATCTATTCTATTTTAGGTTCATATAGAAATATCCTTGTATGAATAAGTCAACAAGATAATATATCTTAAAGTACTTGACGACTCTTTGTTGATAGTTCTGTTAACAGAAGAAAATATAATCAAGTGTAAATAACTAAGATTTCTTTTATTATTACGTATCAACGATAGTTTAGAGTAATATAAGAAAAATATGAAATGTATCTTTAGTTCTTAAGTTAATAATTCTAATCTAAGTTGATAGATGATATGTATTAATTTCACTGATGAATATAGCAAAACATAATATATTCAGCTAACAAACAAAAGTTATGCTGACTCGAACTGTGATATATTAGCAGAAACTAAACTTTGAAGATTCATTCGATTTCAATACCAATCTCTTATTCGTTTATATGGTGAAACAATTGTTCTATAGTTTTACTTCAAGAATCTATTTCGATATATTATATAGAATATGCGCACCGAAGAAATAATGTTGATATTTCTTTCGAACAATTGAAAGAATTTACATGATTTGATATCAACTAGATAACCTATCGTGTAAAATTACTAAGACTAAAATTGATTATTATTCTAAAAGATTTAAAATGATCACCCAAAGACAATGAAGGTAAAATCTATAATAATTATGAATATACATTCAGCTCAAGTATTTAATCTGTTGTTTCATTATCCCACAAACACTGCTTAAAATCATAGCCAAGCACGAAAGATAAACTTTTATTTATTGTATAATCACTTGTATTTCTAATAAAGTGAATAGTCTAATTATATTCGTCTGTGTATATCTTAATATATCAAGTAAACTTAGAAGAATTTTTATATCTCGTGCATAACATTCGAAATTTCTATTTTTGACAGCGATGAAATCACAAATACAGCTAATACTGCCCTCTATCGTTATTATATTTTTTGTTAGTCAATTTTTTTATTCAATAAGAAAAAATCATCATGAAATACATTGTTTATCAAGTATTGCATTCATTCTTTCTCATTCGTAATTGTAACACACATTGATATTGGTAATCATTTTATAAGTATCATGTCAATTTCACTTCTTTCAAATACATACAATAGACAAAATTGGGAAGATGCAGTATGTATTTTCTTTTTATTTTATCTTGTTTGGTTGTCTATAAATTAATTCTTAGGAATTTCCAATTTTATGTCAAACATGTCTTGGTGATAATCCATATATACGAATGGTAAAAAATCTTCATTCAAAAAAGTTTCTTTAAACTTTTATTCGATTTATTTAGATGAAAGAACGATATGGTCAAGAATGTAAAATTTGTAATCGTCCATTTACAATCTTTCGTTGGTGTCCAGGTGCTCGTATGCGTTTTAAAAAAACTGAAATTTGTCAAACATGTAGTAAAGTGAAAAATGTTTGTCAAACATGTTTACTTGATCTTGAATTTGGTTTGTTTATTTTTATTTTTTATCAATAAAATTAAACGCTATTTCTTATTTTTAGGTTTACCTGTTCAAGTTCGAGATGAAGCATTACAAATAACTGATAGTATACCAAAAGGTCAAGTTAATAAAGAATATTTTACACAAAATGCCGAAGCTGAAGTAAGAAAATTTTCTTTGTTAATTTTTTTATCTAAAGAAATTTATTTAGATGGCACTTGAACAACAACCACAACCATATGGTCAATTAGCTAAAGCACAACCACCAAGTGATGTTTTAATGAAATTAGCTCGATCAGCTCCTTATTATAAACGAAATCAACCTCATATTTGTTCGTTTTATGTTAAAGGTGAATGTAAACGAGGTGAAGAATGTCCTTATAGGTATGAAAATATTCTTTTTTTTCAAAAGCAAAAAAACGTTTCTTTTGGTTATTTTAAGACATGAAAAACCAACTGATCCAGATGATCCATTATCAAATCAAAATATTCGTGATCGATTTTATGGTGTTAATGATCCAGTTGCTGAAAAATTATTATCACGTTATAAAGAAACACCACAATTAGAAACACCTGAAGATAAATCAGTTACAACACTTTATATTGGAAATGTTATTGATTTAGATGAACAACAACTTCGAGATCATTTTTATCAATATGGAGAAATTCGTTCAGTAACTGTTGTACCAAAACAATCATGTGCTTTTGTACAATTTACACAACGTGATGCAGCTGAACGTGCAGCAAAAGAAACATTTAATAAATTAGTTATTGATGGAAAACGTTTGACTGTTAAATGGGGTAAACCACCAGCAATACAAGCAGGTGGTGGACGATTAGGTGATGCAAGTGGATTTGAAAGTAATTATGAACCTGTACCGGGCCTTCCAACAAGTAAATAGATATAGAATATGAGGTTTTACTTTCTTGATAATATTTTTACCTTTTGTTTTAGTTGTTCCAATGCCATCAACTGAATTAAAAGCTGATTTCTTTGGTTTATCATCATCATCAACACCAAATGTTGTAGCATCAACAGCAGCAAGTTCATTTTTACCACCACCACCCATGCCTCCTCCAGATCTTGGCGATTATACATCATCTTTATCATATGGTCATATGCCACCACCATTATCATCATTACGTACTACTAGTGTACATTATCCATCTCAAGATCCATCACGTGTTGGTTCAACGGCAGCTCATGGAAAAGCCAACGAATAGATTATTGGCTTTTCTTTATATGATTCATTTTGTTTGTGTATTGTGCTTATGTACTAAATAAAAATATCTTTTCGTGGATTACGAATATAGATCGTTTATTAATATTTAGTATGGAGATATATGTAAATTCTCATGCTATTGTATTTATCTTTAAAGAAACAAGCTATAGTTGTTTTTTACTATTTTGTCATGCTAAACGAAATGGCATAACATAAAACAGTAGTTGTTACTTCTAACGACTAAAGCATTTCTAATAGAATAATGACACTTCCTTTCTGCACACCAAAATAGTCGATGATGTATCCTATAGTTCGCATTCTGTTCAACACTTCATCATCTTCTTTTAACTCTGTAAAATAGGTTAACTAGTCACAAAAATTAGATTACTTTTAGTCTTTCTCTGTATAGAATGAAGACGAAGATAACATTGCAACATAATTTTTCTTAAGGTAAATCAATGAATAATGAGAATCTTGTTCATCTATTTAGTTTTGTAAATAAAATTAGCAAATATTTTGAATTTTCTCAGAATAAATCTAAACTAAAAGGTTGATATTTTGATACTGAAGATTTAGCAAACAAGAAATATCAATTCAAGTCTTTCATAGTTTTACATTAAATTTGTCTTAGAATTTTAGACTAGTTATATACGAAAATAGTCATAGCTATAAATATGCTTAAAAATCAACTATAGATTCGAATTTGAAAGAAAAAGAAACTTGTTCAGAGGTGATTGATTCAATCAAAGAAAATCCACTATGTTCATGATGAAAATATATTAAAGTCCAATGACAATCAGCAACATTTACTTTACAATGATCATCATAATCGTGTCTATAATATGATACCATCATAGTTTCAATGTTTGACAAGACTCCCACAGATTTTATCAACACTTCAAATATTTTTAGCTACTGGTGTTATTCGTAAATGTTCACAAGATGATCATTATATCATGTAAAATATCAGAATAAATGAATATAAAGCTACAACTAAGAACAATAGAAAGTGATGGAAAGAAAACTTGCTTATATTTGTCTTCACAAATGTTAAAAGAACAATTATGCTTTCTGTAGACAAAGAAAAAAAAATACAAATCAAACGTAATGACCTTTGCTTTATAGGATATTATTGCGTACTCTTTTTGATGTATTGTCTAGACAAATGATTCTATTTTAACTTCAGACAATCTGATTAATAATTTATAAGAATTTCCTTTTTCAATACAAAATTAATTATATTATACACAGTTTATAGAAGTTTCATTATTATAATGTTAGTGCATTAGTCTTGTGAAAAAAGTAAACGAGTATATAGAATAGTGTGACTTAAGATAAAGAAAATATTTAATTCATTCTATTCAAAATAGATTTCATTTAAGTTCATAGATTGAAAAATTTCTTATAGTAGTTTCACTTCAACGTACTTCCTTTTCCCAACAAAAGGAAAAATTGTAAACTAATTTCAATTAATGATAGGTGAGTTCTTCACACTATAGTATAGTTTTCAAATAATAAAATATATTGGATTTAATCATATAGACAGGATGAAAATAGTATCATTAGAAAACTCATAAAATACTGTGTAGAAATGATTAATCCAATTAGAAGAAAATTGTGATTCTATTGAATATATTTCTTTAAATTATAAAATAAAATAATGTCTTATGGAATATTTATTTTTCTTTACAATGTATATATATATACTTAACAAAAATATTAAATCACATAAATAAATATTTCATCAATTTGTAAAAGAAAGAAGACGTTTGCATTTAACAATATTAATTTTCATTTGCATCAATACGCTCAATATCATCTAAGACAAGCGTTAATTCAGTTTTTTCAATCGTTGTTTCAATATCTTTGACATGTAATAAAATGTTTTGAGCATTATAAATTGTATCTGTAACAGCCAAAAAACATTGAACTATTTTCATAAATCGTTGAACACATTGAGTAAAATTATATTTATAAAGAAGATATTTCCATGTTACTTCGGCATAAATATTTTGAATACGAAAAAGTGCAAGTGTATCTAACGTTTTACTTGTGGTTATCGAACGTAATAATGATATATTATTGCAAAAAGTAAATATAGATAATGCTAATTTAAATATCACAGTATCAGATTCAATAAATTTTAATACATTTTGAATTAAATTCATACATGTATCACCATATACATTTTTAAAATTAGCCATGAAAGACTGACAATTGTAAAGTTGAAAATGATTCCAACAAAAAATAGCACCTAACCAAGTTACACTTTCAGCAGCACTAGGAAGAAATATAGTTCGATCATCCGGTCCTAAAGTATAAAGATCTCCATTTGAACGAAGATATTTTTCTGTTGTTTCATAAACTTCAACAAAAAATTTTCTTGCAAGTTCAGAATTCGTTGATGTTATAGAATGTTCAGTATTATCTGAATTGATTATTTGTTCAGCTATTGAGAAAAGTTTACTTTCATCATAACTATAAATTAAATTAGATAATAATGCCCATTGTGCAGAATATAATGTTGAATTATCTGCTTTCAAAAGATTCAATGTTGGAAACTAAAATAAAGAAAAAAAACAAACAAATTCGAATTAACTTTCTTTATTCACACATGACAAACTAAAGATAAGGATATAGGAATTTAATTTAATATATAGAACATCCTGAAAATTATTCAGTTTACTATATATTTTTCCTATTTCGATATTTTCCATAAAGTTTACTTCAAAAACAAATGCTGTAAAAATTTATCATTACACTTATTCTTATAGAATTCAATGAGTTGTATCTAATCATACGAAAAACAAAATCTTAATTAGACTTGTATCTTACAAAGAACATAAATCACAAGACAGTGATTCACAAATCGTTTGAATAAATAAATACCCGATAATCACAGCTGTATATTTAAAATAGTAAAGATCTTATTAAATAATATTTTGTACCTACTAAATTTGTATTAGAATTAAAATAAAAGTAATTACTATTAATAATACTACAAATAAATGTACAAAATATATTTCTTTGTTTGAATAGAACAATAGACATACAGTATGCAGTTGATTGTGTTCTTCTATTCCTGTTAAAATATTTAGTGTTGTAGTAATAGATTCTGATTCATTATTTTGTCGTTGTTTTGCTGTAATTCGTTTAGATAATGAACATCGAATCATATCAGGTTGCATACCATTTGTGAAACATTTAGCAAGACGACAAGATGAACATGTATGACGATTATTTACATTGATTTCACATAAACCATCAAAATCACATACAAATTTTTCCTAATAAAAATCATTTAAAAATAGATATGAATAGTTTTTTTAATTAACTTGTCCTGTAGTTGCATTTCGTCTAAAAAACATTTTACATGGTGAACATGATATGACACCATAATTTGAATGTTCAGCTGGGGCGCCACATATTTTGCATTGAAATGAAGATTCTCTGGACCTTCTTCCTTGACTGGTTAATGATATTGTAGTACAATCAGCATGCATACTCTCATTATCATCATCTTCTTTCATTAATTTTATTGCGTATTCAAACTAAAATGATTGGAAAATAAAAAAAACTTTTAGTTTTGAATTAAAGATTTATTTTTCTCTGAATTACTGTGACACGTTCTATTCATAATACATTTCAAACTAACGGATAGATTTTATTCATTTATATTTCTATAATTTTCTCACAGAATATACGATTGTACCTTTGACATTTACATTTGTGAGTCATCCAATTGACAAAGGAATATTAATTCAACGTTACTTTATCTTAACAGAAAGGAGAAAAGCACTATATTTTTTTTTCCTTCGTTATTTCATCCTTTCAGCGAAGGAAAAAAAACTATTTTTCGTTTCTGTTTTATTATTCTCTTTCATGCTATATTTATGTACTGGAAGTCAGCGGTTAGTATTCTATATTTACTCGAACTTTTATATATTTATCGTTATTTAATACTATTAACTATTATCCACTCAAATTAAATCATGAAAATTTTAATTAATGATAGTGATAAATTAACAAATTCTTTGACCATTATTACAAGAAGGTCAAAAGAACCTTTAGATAAATGCAAAGTTTGTGAAGCACCAGCTATACATTCAAATTTTGGTGTTATTTGTTGTTCTCCGTGTAAAATGTTTTTTAAACGTAATGCAGAACTACAACAAGTTGTAAATTAAATAAATAAATAAATTTAATTTAATTCTTATTATTGTATTTTTTGTTTTAGAGACATTTTATATGTGGTTTTGGTGATAAATGTGAAGTAAATATGAATAATCGTCGAATATGTTCATCTTGTCGACTTACAAAATGTTTTGCAAGTGGAATGAAAATTGAATTGATTCGAGGTTCTCGATCAAAAAAAAATAGTAAAAAAAGACAAAAGAAAAATACAATAACAAAATTTAATTTACCAACAATTAATGATCAGTCACAAAAGGTAAAAATTTTAATGTATTATTTTTCTGAACCTGTGTTATGTGGGAATACAAACATGAAAAATTCGATTGTTCGTAGAAAGATCGAAAGGGTCAATGATCGAAAATTATTTTCTCTAATTCTATCTAGGAAGTGCAATACTTTATTGTATGAAATGAAAGGATGAAGGTGTGAGTGTGAGCTTGTGGGTGAATCTGTTATACCCTCAAAGGACGCATCATCTCGTTGTGGGCGAGAGCGGAGCTATTGGTCATGGTAGTCCCTAGTGTCCCTAGTGTACCGTTGTCAGTCTCTACTAGAACCTAGTAATATTTAATAGTCTCTAGTAGCTCATGCAAATCTCTTCTAAAAACTTATAGTAATTACATAAATATATATATACATATACACATATATATATAAAATAAATTTTGTACGTAACATACAGTGCATATATACCATGTATGAAAACTTTGAATCACATGTAATTCCTTTCTGTCATGACCTTCTTGTATCGAGTATTACGCATGACCATTATTAGTGGTTAAAAGTTTAGACTAGTCGAATGACAGGAACAAACAGTAATGAACTGTAGGCGCTGAGTTGACTATTTACTAAAAACATTCTGTTTTTCCTTTACTTCTCGATTTTTATACTTTTCCATTCATAGTTTAATTTTCTCAACATTCTTCCGTTTCAAGATTCTTTGTTTTTGACATTTTCCTCTTCTAAGATTCTTTCTTTCAAGATTCTTTCTTCCGACATTTTTCCAACACACGTGAAAAATGCATAATCGAGTTCACTAGGTACACATTTCTCTTTCTTATTTGTAGCTGATAGTAGAAATACTTCGACAAACGAGTTTTTTAGTGAGAGGTTTCTTTATAACTGATATTAAATAGGAAATATATTTTATATTAAGAAACCTGAATAGTAATTAAACATACTGGTTTGTTATTTCATAAGTAGAAGAATACTTTATCTAAGATAAAAAAGTTTTTCTTTGAATAAAAGAAATTATCTTGTTTAATTCAATCGATAAGAATCTCGTTACGATTCTGATCTAACAACTTGCATGAAGTTCTGATAGATTATCAATACAAAGAATATAATGATATTTCTACAAAAACCACAAATTAAATCATTAAATGACTCGTATCTAGCCTATACCTGTCATTATTTCAATAGGATAATATTTTTATATCGATAAACTATTGAAGGTCAACTGACTTTATTTGAAGATTCAAAAATTAAATAATTTTCCTTCGATTATTAAAACATTATTTTTCTATGTAGTCATCTACATTTAATTTATTACAATTTGATCAATCAATATTAACTATAGAACAGTGGAATATTCTTTCTTATTTATTCAATTGTTTTGATGAACAAAAACAGTTTTCATTAATTAATCAATTTATATCCGAACAAAATAGTTTACCATACAAATTTCGTTTTAAATGTGGATCTGTACGACAATTAATTTCATTACTTACAAGTAAAACTCAATCATTATTTGAAAAGAATCATGATTTTTATTCATTATGTACACGTGATCGTTCAATTCTACTTCATCGTATAATGAAATATATAGCAGTTATTAATTTATCATATATAGTACAACAAACTCATATAATTAATTATCCTTCATTTAATAAGATTCTTGAAAATCTTTTTGGAAAAACTGCAACATTAATAAATAAACAAGCATTTACATTAATCAATGGTTTTGATGTTGGTTTTTTAAAATTGGCACTTACAATTATTTGTTTTTCAACAATTGATTATGTAATATATGAAAATATATCTGGAGCGAATTTTATAAGTGTAAAACGAATCATGGAAATTCAAGATTTATATATCGAATTAACATGGCGATATTTAGTTTATGAGTATAGTGAACAAAAAGCAATTGTTCATTTTTCTAGTTTTATTAGATTTATATTTGCCGTTCATAATGCTATTATTTTAATGCAAAATGAAGAAGTTTTTACCAGTATGATTGATTCAACAATTGAACAAATTGAGAAAACTCTTCCTATTTGTATTTAAAACAAATGTGATTTTCTATTATTGTTAATATGTACTCGAAACGTTATCTTTTGTTTTGAAATAAAAAACGAAAAATCAGATAGAAATAGTATAACTATTTAAAATTTGATTTTTTATAAATTTTCTTAAATCGAATTCTATTGAAAAAATATGATAGAGAATAATTATGAATCATTGATTCTGTAGACAAGGTTATCACGTACGTTTGTAAATAAAAAATTCTTATGGGTATATTTTAGTTTACATATTAAATCTATATATTTATAATGCTAAAAAATATAATAGATTTCTTTTTATATAATCTATAAAATCTTTTATAATTCAATAATTAATGTAGTGCTTTGTTTTTCGAATTTTTAGTAATGAAAATAAAGTGTACTTGATACACTCTCGTGCGGCTTTTTCGTTTCTTTTCTCTTCTCTTATAAGTGATAGTAATAGATATAAATGCCCTCGTTTTATTCTAATTTTCTTATCGACAATACGAAAGGAAAAAAGAAAGTTCTTGGTTATATTCGAATATATCATAGTCTACGTCGTTTTATTCTTAACTAATATACACGTCTGAAGAAATCGTTATTTTAAAACATCAGACATAGTGTAAACCATCAGAAATCATTTGCAATAATTATGTTACGATTTGTCTGAATTTCTTCAAAATTATGATAAACATTTGGAGATAGGCATATCCGATTGATTACAAATTTCATTTAAACTAATCGAAGAATTTAATTGTGAAAATCTTTCAATTGTCTCATACTTTAGTCAAAGATAGCGTTTGCTGACTTTATAGGATTTTTTTCAATATATTGATTTTACTGATTAGTTGTATGTACCAAGGATGTATACTTTCATCCTATCTTTATTAATTAGATAGTTACCTTAATAATTGAAATAGAACGAATTTTTCTTGAATTCATTTTATATATATATAACAACGGTTATTTACTAAAGACAAAATAAATTATTTAAACATTTTATAACACCCGTACAAAAAAACAAAACATATTGAAATTAATTAATTATTGAGCATAAGATTCTGTTCAGTTTGTTGAATAATTGAACTAATTAAATTTGAATATTCTTCAATTCTACTTGATTCTACAATTGTAAAATTGACTTTAAAAAGAAATTTTATTAATTGACAAAAACGTATCACAGCTTGTTCATAACTATATTTAAAAACCATATATTGCCACGCTAATTCGACATATTTATCTTGAATACGTAAAACTGCTTTAATATCAATTAAATTACTCGTTATATTATCGGAATAAACTGTGTATGCAATTGTTGAGAATCCAATAATTGCAAATATTAATTTAACAAATGTAGCATCAGAATCAAATGTTTCACTTAATCGTATAATAGTTGACATAACATCTGAACCAAAAATAAATTCATTTGATTGATTAAAATATGGATCATCGAGAAGATGAGATTGATGTAAGATAAATGTTGCACCAATACATTCAGAATATTTAATAGTATTTCGAAGTAAAATTGAACGATCATGTAGAGATAATGAGCGAAAATCTCGATTTTTTTCAATTATTTGTGGAATATTAGTCATAATAAATTTAATAAATTCACTAACAGATCCGAGTTTAAAACGAAATTTGTATGGAAGTAAATTTTGTTGATTTTTAAAAATTAGAGCCGTAGTAAGTCCACTATATTCATCAAAAGTATGAGTTAGATTCGTAATAAGATTCCATTGTTCAATAGATAATGTTGGTGGATCTAACTGTAGTTGATTTGATAACTAGAAATAAAATATAATAATCTTATAAGAAATATTGTTTTGTTTCTATACGAATATATTGGAGTATGACTAATAGTGTAGCCAGAAATTTTCCATGAGGAATGTACGTCAGCAGATAAAATTTTCGCCCTGCAAGTAGTTTTTTTAATTTGTGCTTACCTCCGAGTGTTTTTTTGCCAAGGGAAGGAGATGTTCGGACACCCTTTGCAGCCCTCCAAAAACTAGGACAAGATTCTATATGACCTGAACAAGAACATTCTGAAAAATATGTCTTTTTTCTCTTGTCGTCATAACTACTGCCTATTTTACAATTTTGAATGAAGCCTGACCAATAGTGAAATTACAGACATTTTTAAAATGTCATGACTTTAGGTACATACTATAGGTGGAAATCTGACAAAAGTCTTGTTTTAAATAGCATATACTAGAGAATGATATACATTTTCTTATTTCTACTTAAGTATTTCTACTCGTAAAAGACAAAGGAAATCTTGAGAATGATTAATAAATATAATATTTCTATTAATTTACATTTTTTATTAAATAAGATAAAAAGAACTAGACTATAATCATTGCGTAAAAGATACCATATATATATGATGAATTCTAACATTTATTCGGTATATCATATTAAAAATATTTCATAGATTCTCTTAATTTTTGTATAATCCATTTGTACATTCTCGAAACTCTGTATTCAAATATATAATCATATATTTATTTCCGATTATAGTATTATTTTATAGAATAACTATAATTAATTTTTACCTGACATGGCTGACTGTTTGTATTAGTTATCATTAGAGTAGATGATGTTGTTGTTGACAATACAGGTTCTATTGAATTTTTTTTGTTTTTTCTTTTTGTATTTTTTTTTGTTCTTGATCCTCGAATAAGTCCTATTTGCATTCCTTTTGTAAAACATTTAGCAAGTCGACAAGCAGCACATATACGTCGACTATATAAAGTTATTTCACATTGATTTGAAAAATCACATATAAAACTATCCTGAATAAAATAAAAAAATAAAGAAAAAGTTATTTTAATTTTCAACGAACTTGTTTTAATTCTGCATTTCGTTTAAAAAACATTTTACATGATGAACAGGATATAACTCCATAGTTACTAAATAATGCTGGTGCACCACATATTTGACATTGTTGAGATGATGTCTTCGATTCTTGTATAATAGTTGTTGATTCAACTTTTAAATTAATACTATTTGTCATGACTTTCATCATCAAATTAAAAAAGTAAACATATTATATATATATATAGTGAAATAAAAAGAGAAAGGAAGAGGTTTTGTAATGGATGAGTTACAAGCTGTCGATTCTCAATGTACGTAGATAAAGAAAGACAAGAAAAAAAATCCGTTGCTATCTTCACGGAGAAATAAAAATGAAGTAAAACTAACGTGTCAATTCAACGCATTATCGTATAGAACTATAACGAAACAAAGAGTGTACGTCCTTCATACTAAAACAAAGATATTAATCTGTCTACATGATAGTTTAAGTCAGAAAGATTATTATATATATATATTATACTACTCATTATTTGAATCTTACCATAATCAGATAATGTAAATTAGAAAATAAATGAAAAATATTTCATAAAATTTGTTCCATTATTCTTTGAAATAATATGTTAAAGTGCAAAATGTTTTCTACAAGACTTTGCTATTAGAATGTAAAATAAGTTAATTCTATATTTAAAATAAAGAAAAGAAAGTAATGGTGATATAAAACTATTTATTAAGAAGAAATTGGGTATAACGACAAGAAAAAAGTATTGTATGTATTAAAATATGTATTATGATACACAAATCAATAGCGAACGAATGGTTAAGAGTAGCAAAAAATCAAAGAACATTGTCTGCGTACTGTTTAACCTCTATATTTGTTTTTAATGATTGTTTCACGCATATTTATATATATATATATAAAGAAAGAGAAAGGAAAAGAGAAGGAAGAACATTAGCTTTTTTTTTTATCAAGACCGACGCTATACCATAGTCACAGAACGACAAAACTAACCGTGTAAGAGAGTGTATGTCGCCAAATTTTGTTATTATATTCAAAAATGACCTTAACGATGTTACCATAATGCAAAAAAAATTTGCACCAGTAAATCTCGGTCAGATCAATTATAAAACTTTAATTTACCGCATTATCTTTTCTCAATTATGATTAATAAAATATTTAACATTGAATATGTTTTTTTTATGTTTTGCAGGTATAGTTAATGATTGATTAGGATAATAATTTATCCTTGATCGTCTTGTCATCTTATGAGTGTCAATATTCTTTTTTTTTAATCAAAAATCAAACCGTCATAATAATTCGTTGAAATCATATTATTTATGATAGAAAAGAGCGATTTGTCAGTAGAATATTTTTGTGTAATCAAAATTTATAATAATATTTAAAGGACTTGTTAAAAAGAAAGAGGAAGTTATTTTCAATACAATGCAAGTTTAAATAGATGGATTCGTAACTAGAAACTATATATCTTTGGATGTATCGTATATATTTTTGTATTTATTGTCTTGATTTTCACCATAAGAACATGATATATTACTACATAACTCGCTGAAATATTGATATCAACTTATCATATAAAAAACCGTAATAGAGTTGTTCCTATGACTTCCATTAAAACCCACATTATCATCTGTCAAAGTTTGTATGATACAAAAGGATGTGTAGGATAGATAAAACTTCTATGTTAATTTCACAGAAAATTTTCTAGACAGCAGTCGTGCGTTTAAGTCATACTTGATTGCTATTGAGATTTGAATATTTAACAAAAGTACTTTAATTAATTCTATATTTTATGTTTTTTTTCAAAATATTTCTTTTCCTTCTAAAATAATTGGTAAGTTTTTTAGCACTTCATCAATTAATATACGATTATTCATGTCTCGTTTAAGAAAATAATTAGAAAGTACCCATCAAGGTTGTTTAGGCAACATACGCAAAAAGTAATCATTTGATTGTCAATAAGATAAGAAAATAAAAATCTTAATCTAAATGTCATTAATGAGCGATTCGTTGACGTTTTATTTCTCTTATTATATAAATATTTATTTCTTAACTGAAAAGTAGACAAATATTGAACAGATGATATATAGATTATTGTATTTATTAATTGTAAAATATTATATGACTTTAGTTTTGACTTAATATTTTATTCAAGCAGGTGTTTAATGAAATATACTAATATTTTTCTCCCAAGTGCAAATACTGAACGAGATCATTGATGTATATAGTACCTAGGAGTCATTCAGTAAAAATAGTTTCTAATTATAAACTTGAATGAAATTTAATTTGACAATGGAAAATATTTCAAATGCTAATTAAAGCATGATTAAAATCAATTCATTATCAATTATCAAAATTTAATATATTAAAAGTTTTTTTTAAAACGAAGAAAAAGAATCAGAATATCATGTTTAATTAACTTAAAAAGTAACAGTAAAATAAAACATTTATAACAAAAATTCTCCTATGTTGCTTTAAACCACGTTACAATTTCAGCAAAAAGATCAGACGGAAGTTTGTTAACATTATATATAGAAAATAGATCAAGACTTGAAACTTCTGATAGTAGACTAGATGGTTGGCCGCGAGGTATAATACGAAAATAAACAGGTGTTAAACCACCATCATCTTTATTTGGTGATAAAGGTGGTAAGTATAAACATGAAGAAAAACTATATTGTTTTAGTTTATTAAAATAACCTAGAAAAAAAACAAAAAATGATTTTTGTTTTTCGTCTTTTAAAAAATAAATAAATATTTAACTAACCTTGGAGTATTTGGTAAATTACTTCAATAAAACGTTCATCAAAATTTTCTGCTAATACAATTATATCATATTCTTTTCGTGATGTCTAAATAAAAACAAATATGTTTTTTTATTATTATTTTTTAATATCAATCAAGAAAAAGAAAAAAATAGCTAAAAGATATTATTCTTTTTTCTTTCTCTTCGTTCTTGTATTTTATATACTATACACTGCATATCGAGACAACGATAAAAAATAAGAGAAGATGCACTAAGAGAGTATCGACGCGAAACGTGACAAAATATTATTAGATACATATATATACATATGTGCATTGATTGGGTCATAAAAAGAAGAGGTGAAAATGATGCGACACGATAAAGAAGAATAGAACAAAAATTATTATTCAAACTAAAGTTTTTTTCTTTCTTTCGAAAGACAAATGGCTGAGAGTATAAAACAAAATGATAATGAAATTTCATCATTGTTCATACAAATTCAAGACCAATTAGTATGTATTTATATTCCATCTTAGAACATAAGAAAAAAACAACATATGTATTTATTTCATTTGATATCATAGAAAAACAGTCAGACATATGTCGATAGATCTATTAGTTAGATTAACTATTTACAAGTGTCTATGTCTTATAATTCGAAGCAATCTTTCTTAGAGTGAATAAATTTTTATCAATCCTGAGTTTTTATAGCAAATTTCATCATAATATATTAAAGATCGATTTTAAAAAATTGTTTATTCTTGTCTTGATAGTAATAGTATAATTACCAAATAGTCTTATATATGAAATTGATGTAGTCATGCTTAGTAACACAACGTTTTTATACTAATAATTATATATGTTTTAAATTATTCTTTAGAAATATATTCGTGAAGATAATATAGAATTAACTGATCAATTAACAACTCTTTATAATGATCTTTGTCATATACGACAAATTCTAACAAATACTCAATCAACTTTAAATTTAAATACAACAAGTCTTATTGAATCTTCAACATCAAATCGTTATCATTCAAAACAACGTTCAGATAGTGAACCAAATATTTTAACTGATCGTCAACGTATATTAACAATAATTGATGACTTACAATAGGTACAAGTATTGTTAAACCACTTAATGGTATTGTCAAATTAAGCGCAGTATGAATATCTTGCATAGCACGAAAATAATTTTTTCCTTTTTGATTTTTAACATGTTTATAATCACGATAGTATTGTTCAGATGCAGAACGTATTGATTCAAATTGACCTTTTTTAATTAAAAAGAATATATATACATATACAGAAAGAAAGAGTTTGGTGTTTTTAATCAAACCATAATAATGATTTGAATGAACAGTTGCATGAATATGTGGATGTACTTGTGAAGCACCACCATGTGGAAGACTATCCCAAAGAAGAGCCGGAAAACGATGTGATGGTGATTGTTTATGTACAGCACGAATCCTATATTAAATAAGAAATATTATTTATATAGAATTTTCTTTTAAATGTTTTATTGAAATTAGTCATTAATAGCTTAGTCCTGCAGTCACCATCATATTACCTCGGATCAATATATTTTCTAAGTACTTTATTTTGAATTGAATATAAAATAAATCTATAACTGTTAATATATAAATAGACTTACCATTTCCAAGCTAATGTATAAACATCTTTCAATTCTTCTAATGTTATTTTAGTAATATCATGTTGTTTTGGCATAAACATTGAATGCCATTGATCAAATTTAAATGCATTAGCTGCTGAATATGCATTTCGATTTTCCATTCGACCTAGGCTATCTGTTGCTGTCATTCTTTGATTTAAAAAAAAATATATATATTTTTAAGAAAAATTTAAAGAAATATAATTTACTTTTGATAATTACATAAATCACAAACTTGAGATGTTTTTTCCATTGTTTCTTTTAAACTAGAAGAAAAAAGTTTAAATAAAATAAAACTGTCATAATGATTTTTTTACTATTGTTCAATAGGAATTTCAGGTTGTTGAATAGGACGACGGCCACGAAGTGGATTATAAACTGTTTCTTCAAATGAATATTTGTTCATAACAAAATAAAGATCCTAAATTTCAAATAAAAAGATTTTTAATGTCAATCGACAATGAAAGTAATGCTATTAAAAATTCGAAGACTGATACTAGCATATTTTTACAATTTTCGATTATTTCAACATCAATCATCTGTCTTAATCCCATAGACGCTCTAATTTATCCTATGATGGCAAGAAGAAAACAGAAAAATATCTCCGAGTAAAATCTATCAACAGCTGTAAATACTTCTAATTACTTTCTTTTGCTTTTCAACAACTATTCGTAAAGACATGTCTTAAGTAAATATAAAGACTCTTAATAGATATAGAAACGATTTAAATCAATTCTGTTCACTTCGATCGAGATAGTGCAGCCTATTAAAATTTGTGCGATTTGGCTAGAAAACTGTAAAATAAGCAGCTTAAGAAATATGTCGTTACAGACAAAAGTTGAAAGTTTGTAGATAGAAATCAAATAAAAAATTAACGGAAGATCGAACTAAACTCATGTAAACGTAAAACGTCATTTTTCTATAGTGGAATTTTCGAAAAAATTCTCATTTGCCTACAGTAGACATAGATTCATCTCTTATTGAACGTCTTTGACTTAAGATCTATTATAAATCCTAATGGTATAATATACAAATCAATTTCTAATAAAAGATTATTTTTATACCTGGTCTAATGCTTTCTCATATAATTTCGCATCATAATTAAATAGTTTTTTGATTTTTTCAGCGAACATTGTCGGATGTTGTACACTAGCAATTTTTGTTTCAATATTATAAATTGATTGAATATTATCTATAACATTTCTATAAAAAATCTTTAAAATCACAAAATTCTGAGATAATTTCTTTTTTTCATTACCGACAAATAGCATGTGCAGTAAAATTTTTTTTATAATACAATTTTTGATCGCCTGTAGGTAATGACATTTGATTTGCCCAACAATGTTTACGCCATGCAAGCTATAGATAAAATTAAGATAATATATTTTATCAAAAAAGATAAAAATAATTCCTACTAAATCAAATGTTGGATCAGTTAAAAATGGTGGCCATTGAGAATATTCAGCAAATTTATGTTCCGGTTTTGAATTAGCTAAGTTAATATTTTGATTTGTATTCGAATTGTTTAATAGAAAGAAGTCAGGTAAAACAACTGTTACTATTATTCCTGCTAATAGACCAACTATCAGCCATTTGATTCTGAAATCATTTGATTTAATTGCCATATTTTATCATACTGAAAAATAAAATCAATAGTTTTTCTTGTTTAAACGAAAAAAGAAACAATTCTATTTATTGCAATAAATATATATTAACAAAAATCACTTAAAAAAGGTTTTTTCGATACTGTTCAGGTACACTATCAAGGAGACCTAAGAAAATAATTTATTTTCAATTAATAAATAAAATAATGTATTCATTTTTACCTCGTTTTGATAATTCATCATTACTAAATAATCGATTAAAATATTTCTAAACAAAAAAAACAAATTTGTCAAATAAAATACCAAGATGTATAATTATCTTTAATATATACCTGTCCATTATCACAAATACATGTTACAATCGTGGAACCTTTTGGCATTGATTGACTTAATTCAACAGCTGCAGCTACATTTAAACCTGATGAAGCACCAACAAAAAATCCTTCTTCATATAATAATTTAAAAACCTATGAAGAATAAATTTAGTTGAAGGATTACATAATGAAAATATTATTTATACCATATGAACGCTCTTTTGATCACTGATGAATAATGATTCATCAATAGGTGCATCTTTTAAATTTTGTGTAACACGACCTTGTCCAATACCTAAATATATCGAATAGAATAATATTCTATATAAACTAAATCTATTAACCTTCAGTAATTGATGCATCTCCCATTCGTTCAAGTTTGCCTGATTTAATATAATTATATAAGACACTACCCTATATATTAATAATAATAATAAGAAGAAGAAAATATTAAAATTTATTTTTCATACGGGTGGATCAGCAAGTACAGTTCGAATTTTATTATTTTTTTCTTTTAAATACATGCAAACACCAGCTAATGTTCCACCAGTACCTGTACTCATTACTACAGCATTAACTTTACCATCTAGAAATAAAAATCAATATTTTTATTTATTTTTTCATTATCAATAATACTAATAATATTAATATACTTGTTTGTGTCCAAATTTCTGGTCCTGTCGTAAGATAATGACCACGTCGATTAGCACGATTATCAAATTGATTTGTCCATAATGTATTTTCACGTTGTTCAGCATAACGTTTAGCCTATACAAAAAAATAAATAATTCTTTTTCATAAGAACAAAAACATACATGATGATTATAATTATTCGGATCAGTAATTGGAACAACAGGAACGGTTGTTACTTCTGCACCCAATAGACGAAGAATATCAATTTTTGCCTTGATTAAAACAAAATACAATTGTTAATATCCATTAGAGAGTTTATTTATAATTTACTTTTGATTGATTATTAGGCATGAAAATAACACATTTAAAACCCAATGCATTACAAAGATGTGCTAAACCAATACCTGTATTACCAGCTGTACCTTCAACAATTGTAGCACCCTCTTTGATTATATCTATATTATATTTTTTTAGAAATCAATATAAATTCAAATAAATCTTACTTTTATCAAGTGCATCTTGAATTAAAAATAATGCAGCACGATCTTTAATTGAACCACCTGGATTAAGATATTCAGCTTTCACAAGTATATTACAACCTTAATAGATAAAAAGAATAGGAAAGATGATGATCTGAAATTTTAATTTAAAATATATACCAGTTTCTTCACTTAGTTTTGGCAAACGAATTAAAGGTGTACTAAAAATATATAATAGAGAAATAGAAATTTTTTTTCTAAATCAATCTTACTTTCCAACACTTCCACGAAATCCTTCTAATATTCGAGCAGAAAACGAAACCTTAAAATAGAGATTTATTTCGAAAATTATCATTCAAACAAAATCATACATCTGTTGATAAACAACGACGAGCGCCATGTTTAATTGTGCTTGCAAACATATTTTATGCGAACTGCTGATTGTATCTTGAGCGTACCGTAAATATGGAATCAATAAAAGACCTTGTCACACTTTTACACGTAATTTTAACCTTCATTCATGGTACGATAAATGACTAGGATGCTACAATGTTTTGAATTGGTAGATAAAATTATCGAACGAAATAATATTTTCTTAATTAAATATCCGTATAAAGGAGACATCTACTAAAAAATGAATAGATTTTTTCGAGAAAGAAAATGGCAACTATTTGTTTTATTTTTGATCTTCGAATAATTCTTTTATGTGAATAAGAAAGAAAAATGACTCTTTAGAATAATATACTTGAAAAGAAGAGACTTTTTTTTTATAAACAAAACTGCTACGAAAGACAAATAAAGTAAAGTAAAATAATATAGAGTATTCTGTTTCATACAACGCGTCATGGACACTAATAGTAATATATATGAATTAGAGACGAGTAGTTACGATGAAGATATTGGTCAAGTAACAGAAAGTCAGTCAATTCCGGCCTATGCTGATGTTCAAACATATCCTTGTACGAATTGTGGCCGTCGTTTTAATAATGAATCTCTAGTAGATTAAACTAAAACTAATGAATCATTTATTTCTAAATTCTTCAATTTTCCTAGAGAAAACATCAACCAATATGTAAAAAAACATCACGACAATCTCGAAAAGTATTTGATACTGGTAAACAACGTGCTACAGATTCTGATGTACCATATCAAGCAACTAGAGAAACTACACAGGTTTGGAAACTAAAGTATATTTATTCTATCTTTTAACAATTCTATAAATCTTAGTTTTATCAAGAGGGTATAAAACCTAAATCAAATACTCCAAAAGCAAAAACAAGTAATTGGCGCGAGGGTCATAATGCACTTGTTCATACAATTCGTCAAGCTCGACAAATAACACAAGCTATTGATGACGGTGTTCCATTACCTAAACATGTACCCTCACAAGTTCCATCTGATTATATTCAATGTGAATATTGTCAACGTCATTTTAATAAATATACAGCTGAACGACATATTCCTTTGTAAGAGAAAAAAAAATAGTTTATTTTATTTTAAATAAACAATTTTATTTCAGTTGTGAAACACAGTATAAACGAAAGCAAATGAATTATCCAACAATGAATAATATACGTACACCTCCTGAAAATCTTAGCCGACAAAGATATGTAAATCAACCAGAACATCAAATTAATTCAGCATCATCAAAATTAGTTTCAAAACGACCTCAAAAGTAATTTATATCCTGTTCTCTAATCGTTACTATTTAAAAAAATATATTTACAGAATTAACAATGAAAAAGATTATCAGAGACCACCAATAAATCCTAATGGATTTAAACCAACAATTGTCAACGAAGTAATTAATTTTAATCATAAGATAAAACAAGATCTTTTCATTTAATTTAATTAGCCAAGAAAGAATCCGCCATCGAAATATACTAATCAACGAATAATTAAAACACGTAACGCAACAGGAAATTATTTACGTAATATAACAGGTCCTGGTCGAACACCCGATAATAATCGTTTTAATACAATGGAAGATACTGATCAAGAACAACAGACATATAGTACAGGATCACGTCAACAACAACGTATGACACACGTTAAGACTAAAACACCAGGTCCAACTCTTCGACCAACACATGTAAATGGTGGACTCCAACAGCAGAAAATAAAAATACCACCAGCAGCAAAACATTGCCATGAATGTGGTGAAGCTTTTCCTGTTGAAACGGCAAAATTCTGTTGTAGTTGTGGCGAAAAACGTTTCGGTATTGCATAAATTCATTCGATATTTTATTTAAAAAATATTATCTATCAATGCAATTATGTGCAAATGTTTTTTTCAAACAAAAAACTAAAAATAATTCTTACAAATATGTTATTATAGTAATGTAAGACTAGTTTGCTATTCTATAATGCTAAAGAATGGTTCTAAATGAATATATTTCACTTCTTTTTTTGCTAATGTCCTGTTTTTATCCACAACTGATATTAGTATTGATTAATCTTCAGTTTGTAATTGCAAATTGAACATTAAATAGTACAAATATCGATTAGAAATATTATGATATGATAGAAACACATTCATATCATAATTGTATCTGTGTTATAATTTTTTTTGTAACAATTGCTTTTGTTAAGTTTTCTTAATCTTGATTAATATATTTATAAGAAAACCAAGTATTTTAATAAATCGCTAAGTCATTTTGATTATTCTCTTATTATATATATCGTTCTCTAAACACCTATAGAAGACACTGTCCTTCGTATATAATTATAATTTTTCTACGTATAGCTGATTCGATACAATATAGAAAATTATTGTAAATCATCATACAGGGAATATTGAGCTACTATTATTAATTTCAATGTAATAAGTTGTCAATATAAAAATAACACATTACATGTCATGACAAACACAAAATCGTTATCATAATTTTAGCTTTATGATCACAGTTTATGTACGAATAAGTAATGACATACCAATCATATTCTGCAGGAGCAAAAGTATCATACCTGTCCTTGAAAATACTTTTGTTTCAATATCAGATAAAATCAAGCATGACCATAGTAGTCATGCATATGAGAAAAATAAGTAATCTATTATTATATTTTTGTCAAAAAAAGAAAATATATTCTATTTCACGATGTTGACCATTACGGAACCATTTACATTCGATTCCGGAATTGGATCTCCAAAAAAATAGGTTATAAGATAATTTTGACTATTGAAAAATACTTTATTATTTCATAATTGATTAATTATCCATTTCAGTCAATATACGATATTGATCAAGAAAACGTCTCTTAATATAATTATATAATTCATATTCGTCTTTAAGATATGGTTCAAGGAGTTTAATAGTAATTTTATTAGGAAGTTGAATATTAACATCTCTGTTATCAGCCAATTGATGTGAATCTCGTGTATTCATATAAATAAGACGTGCATGTTTAAAATATTGTGGAAATAATTTTTCTAAATAAAAGAAAATATTTTTTTAATTTAAATTCAAATAAAAAAAACAACATACCAAGAACATATAAAAATGAATAAAATTCTTCTGCAATACCAATAACTGTATAGAAAAAGTCAATATTTTGTTTTGCTTGTTTTAATGCAAAAGTTGAATCATCTTGACATTTTATTGAATGTGTTAATCCACAAAAAAATGGTATCATTTTTGAGACACCATTTTCTTGTGAAATACATACATGTGGTGGATATTTTAAAACACATTTATCAAGTGTATCATTTATTGTATTATTATTTACAAAACAACGATTTGTCAATCGACAAATTTCACGTGAATTATTAAAATCTAATGCAATTCGATAGATTGGATCACGAACTAAATTAATCCATACTGGATGTTCAGAAAATGTTAAATTAGAAAAATCAAAAAAATATATATGTCGTTCATATAATAATCGATTATATTTATGATTAGTTAATGATCGTGCTATTGATATTAATGATGTTTGATTATAAGAAAATGGAGTATATATCTGACTTGGTATATATGTAAATGAATGAAGATAAGACACATGTTTTAATAATAATCCCATTGTAAATTCATAACATTGTGGAATTCGATTGTATAGAATTGTTGATGAATTACCTTTCATATTGAGTAAACGTGAATATGAATGACTATTTGAAGATGGAAATTTGATATTAAAATTTGTTGAAGGATGATAGATTTCATCGAGGAAATTAGTATTAATATTAAGAGCATCAATATCAATGAATGAATAACGTAGACGAGTTTCCTGAGATATGTTAATTACATTTGATTGATTTCTAAAAGTCGATTAATAAAACTTTCTATTTAATTGAGAGAAGAAGACATAGATACTTACAATATTACTCTTTGTTCAGTATAGATCTTAACTGAAGGTAAAATTTGAAAACTTTCATTCTTTTCCTTGATGTTTAATACTAGATTTTGAGAATAGTTTTTACAAGAAATCGAATTTCGATTTGTTGGTATTAATTTGACTTGAATATATATATAAATAATGAGATAGATTATTATTGTAATAAGAATATGCAATTGATAACGACGATTTCGAGTAATTGATGAAATACATCGATAAATATAGAATATCGATGGCATAGATGATCGTTGTGAACCCATAACTATCTTGAAAGATTTTGTAAACTATTTAATATAAAAAGATCGTTTAATTATTCAATATTTATAACAATACTTAAAAATTAGAAGAAAAAAAAATATTTTGAATAGCAATCTTTTCTTATGTTTTATCTTAAATTACTTTTATAAAATGAATATATCCATTCACGCATACGAATAAAAGTGCACTAAACGTTCCTTCCCTTTTCTCTATATCATGCACATGTACTTCCTACCAAATAATGACTATTGCAATGCATGATTTATCATTATATATTTTTTGTAATCATGACCAGTCTACAGCGAAAAAGTACATCAATAAAAATCACATTATTATCAATTAGTAAATTAAGAGAATAATTTTTTTGGGCGTTCTACAGTTACTACAATCTGTATAAAATATACATATTTTCAAAGCCTTTCTTTTGCCCTGCAGTAAACCATATGTCAATCTATATTATTTCTAGCTATTAGTAATTCAAGTATAAAATCGAATGAAGCAATGGAATTTACTGTTAAGATTGTATTTCTTATATATTCTTTTCAAACAAATTTTCAATTTTGACAAAAAAAAAAAATATTTTTAAAAATTTGTTATTTATGTAAGTTTAGCAACCATTTCTCTACTAAGTAAATCAGCTTGTCGTATTGGTTCACAATTACGATATTTAGTTACTGATTTGAATATATTACAAGCTGTTGGTAATGTTATTTTATGTCCAACACTGATATAAACAGCATTTTTAACAAATCCAGTTGCATTATAAGCTAAACCAAGAACGTTTCCACTATCACCAATAACTTCAATATATTGATCTTCTTTTGGAGCTTTTTCAGTTAATAAATCTTCAATTTTTTCACGTGTAATACCATCAGCATAGAGAACATTTTTTGATACACCAAAACATGGAATATTACTTAAAACACCAAAATGTGCAGCAATACCTGCACGACGTGGATGCCAAACACCATTTCCATCCATTAAAATAACTTGTGGTGTTAAATGTGGACAATGTTCTTTTTGTATATCAATTAATTTCATAAATACGGGTGCTTCACGAAAAGCAAGATAATTTGCAATATATGGTATTTTCATATTACAATTAACACTTATTTTAGCAACTATATTCAATGTTTCATAATCAAATATAACCATTGATGCAACTGCTTTATCATTAGTTTTAACAAAACTTATATCTAATCCAGCTACATATTTTAATGGTTGTTCAATTTGATCAACATCAGTAATAATTGAATGAACAATATTTTGTTGTTCTCTAAAATATATAATCTTAATATCTGTTTCATGTACGCAAGAAAAATTTCTACATTATTAGATAAGTTCTCAAGGATAACATACTCTATATGTTTACTAGGCCGTCTTTCTACTAATATTTAGGTTTTTATTCTTAGCTAGAATATGATAAATAAAGACTTTTTCGATTCGAATGAATTCTACCCTTGATCTAAACTATATTGCAGACGAGTACATCAAAATATCTCAGATATTTCATTAAAACTTAAATACTAAAAACGAATTATTCTTTTTTGCTACTATTATTTCTAGCATAAAAAAATAGTACTTACTGTGTCCATACTGGTAAAAGATCATCAGGATTCATTTTGTAAGCAAATTCAATAAAATCTTTTATTTCAATATTCAAACATGTTTGATTATTATTATTATTTTTTGAGATATTTGTTGAAGTAATATAAAGTTCTTGAACACGTTTTTTTAATTCATTAAAATTGATATTACTATTTTCAATAGTAAGCATTTGTGGAACTTTTAATTTCGATGGTTCAAATAAAACTTCATTTGTTATTTCATTATATTTCATTCCACTTGCAAGTAATTCAGTTAAAATTTTATATTGATATGAACGTGATAAATTTTCATCATTAATCTGAAATTTATTTTGTGTCATTTGACGAAATTTTAAATAATTTTCAATTGCTAAAACAACCACTGGAAAAACATATTCAGCGTAAATATTTCCTTTTCTTCCACCTGTTTGACCTATACGAATCATACAATTCATAATCATTTCTTCATTCATTATTTCTTCATTTCCATGTTTAGTTTCAAGTGTTTCAGCAACAATTCGATGTAATAGAATATGCGCACTAGAATTATTTGGTACACAACTTCCATATAAATCTCTTAATTTATTATCAAGATTAATTTTTAATTGATTCATTAATATTACTATATTAATATTTTTATTTTCAAGATTATTATCCCATAATGGTTCTGTATTAAAAAATAATTTACTTGGACAAGAAAATGGCCCAAGATTTATTGCATAACTAGGTATTGATACTGCAGATATTAAATGATAATTACCAAAAATATTTTTATTAACATTCCCTTCAAATTCTGACCATTCTATTTGCATATTATCTCGTAATGGTCGATGTTTTAAACTAAAATCAATATATAATTTCATAGGTCGATCATGTACTGTTACTGTTGTTAAAAGATATAAAACAAATGATACAATTTCATTAGGAAATATTGTTGTTTTATCAATACCGATATTTGTAGTAAGTTTATCAATTGAATTACTAAACGTTGAATAAGATTTTTTTAAAAATTCTTTTAATTTTTCATCATTAATATTAATTTTTTTTAATGAACCATAAAGTGGAATTCCGCATAATGTGTCGAAAAGAATATCATATAATTGTTGTTTAACAATAATTAAATGTTCAGGACCAAATTTTGTTATTGAACATTGATTTTCAATACACATAAGAGCAAAACGTTTTCGTAAAATAACTTCAATAATATCGTGATCAAGTTGATGAAAATTATAATTAAAATTTAAAATTCTACAAACAGCTTTAAATGGTTGTCGTAAGAGTTTATCTTCTTGTTTGACAATTTCTTTTAATGCATCTCGGAATATCATTCGTTTACCTTCATCAGAAAATGAATCAGTTGTATAAATATTTTCAATAATTTCTTTTAAAAGATAATCTTTTATTTGTTGATCAAACCAATTCGATTTATAATCATCAATCATAGATAAAAATAACATTTGAACATGAGGAAGAATTTTATTTTCAGTTAAAATTTGAAATAATGTATAATTTATATATTTTCTATTTGATTCAATTGACCAATTTAATGGAATAAAACCCGTACATGATTCACGATAAAGTGTTATTAATTGATTTGAATTATTCATTGTTGCATTCATATAAGATTTTGCACATAAACCACAGACTGGATTTGAAACAATACAATGACGTAAATTTTCATTTCCTTCTAATGGAAAATTAATAATAAAATCATTTGTTGTATCATCAATATTCGTTGGTTGTTTTAACCAAAGAACAAATGGTCCTTGTTCCATACAAATTGCACATTCAAATAATGGAACATTTGTATGATCTAATATATTTGTTATATTTGAATATTCTTCATCAGTTGTTGTTAAAATTTTTGCGCGATTAGCACGATTTGATGCAAATGTAAAATCATTTATTGAATACGAACCTATTTCTTGTTCATGAATTAAATTTTGAATATTATTCCAATATTGACGTGTTTTATGAAGATTTTCATTGATATATTTAAGATATTGAATTTCTTCAATTTTAGCTTGATCAGATATTTCATGAAGTTGTTGACGAAGTTGATTTAATTCATTTGTATATTCATTTTCATTTAATTTTAATGTAACAATTTTGGAAATAATTTCATCACGTTGTTTCGAATAATTAAAATTAAAATTTAATTTACATATTTCTTTATCAAATTCTATTGCTTGATTTTTCATCTGAGAAACAAATGTTCGTAATTCATTTAATTTATTACCGATTTTTCCATATTGAATTAATATTTTCCAATCATTTTCTGATAATTCAAGAATTTTATTCAAATCTTTTGTATTTAATAATTGATTAAAATCAATAGCAATTATTTCATTTTCATTATCACGAATTGGTATACAACCATCAGGAATTTTTCTATATTCATAGATTTGTATATTATGAAATAAATCATTTATATTTAATGTATTCAAATTTTTATAATCATTTAAATCTTCAGATGGATTATAAAAATTACTTATATAACCTTTTGATGAAAGAATATAAAACACTTCACCATCATAATAAAGACATAAAACATTTGAAGTCATCATTAATGGTGCAACAACAGATATATTTATTTGTGATGGTGATGGTAATTGTTTATGAACAATAATACAGATAACTAATGCTTTATTTAAATTATCTTTTGTTTGAGTTGCAAACTAAATTGAGAAAATAAGAATGATACTTTTTTTTGTGTTTTATTTTACCTGAGTAACACTACTATTATCAATTTCTCCGTCGGTAACAAATACAATAACATCAGATTGATCGAATGCTTTTTTAGTTAATTCATTTTGAAATATCGCTGTAGGATTTGTACCACCTTCTGGTCTTACTGAATTGATATTTGTACATAATTTAGCCGATGTATTCCAAAGAATAATATGATTAAATTCAGTAGCTTGACAGATACTTAATTCAGCTTGTAAAACATTTTTTCCTATTGAAACTAATTGAGAAGAGGTTGAACCAGAATTATCAATAAATATACCAGTAGTAAAATCTGTAGAATTAGAAATATTTAGATAAATCAAGAAAAATTATTTCTTATAATTTTTATCTTTCATAAAATACTAACCTGATACTTTTTTTAACCGGAGATTAGTTTTTGGAATAGTAATCGAATATGAACTTGTCATTTTTATAAATAAATAGAAAAAAACGAACACTTATATATAGTATAAGATATTGCGCAATCCATATGAAATCAAAACAAATAAGGCTGACGATATTTCATATAAGTTTTCTTATGAAATACAGAATGAATAATATTCATTCATTTGTAATACATGATGCAAGTTTATGTAAAATCAGAATTTATGAATCTCTTATTTAATCGCGGAGAGAATATTAAGGTAATTTAGGAAGCATATCTGAACTCCGCTAAATTTATGTAAAAAAAGACGCTGTACTAGCGGTTACTTGTATCTCCATTTACAAAGGTAATAGTAAATATTTTTGTAATTGAATAAAATTATATTGAAAAATGATGAAAAACTAGATGATAATAAAGTAAATAATATTTTTGAGTATGTCAAGTAATCCGGGTGTGGGTGTGGGTGTAGAAGAAAAGTAGTCCATATCTATACATCTACATCTACACTCACCCACTCACATCCATCCATATTCATACCCACACCCAGAACACCCGCTGCTACAACGATAACATCGATCGTGTCGAGCTTTTCAGCGTACTCTCACTACTAGTGGCTTCGAAGAAATAAACTGATCAGATTTTGTCTAGTATGTCCACACCTTTTACTTGTTGTATCTTCTATGATTAATAAACTTCAAGTAAAACTTTTTCAGATTTTTACTTTTCCGGATTTTTTGGCAGTATCATATTTTTGTATAACAGCTGTATTTTTTACCGTTATTCAAATTTCTAATATAATTCTTTAACAAGCAAAATGTACCAAAATATGCGTCGTACAAAGCTCTTCAATTTACAAAAAATTCTTTTTTTTCGATGGATTTTTATTGTTTCAAATGGACAAATTTTAATTGCAAAAATAGTAGTGTAGCGAAAAATTTATTTATTGATGTATAACGAATTTTTTTTCAACATCATTATTCATTTTGAATATTTAGAATACATATGTAAAAAAACTTTTTTTTGTCAACTACAGTTTTTCACGTTGTATATTTTGCTTGCTAAAGGAACATATTGGAAATTCGAACAGGAAAATAAAAAAAATATATCATTTACTTTATTATGATTTGCGAAAAAAATCTTCAGTATCAACCGAGCTAAAGTTATGAAAGTGTGAGGTGATATTTACTCATTGCTGATTGACTATCATTTTAAATTTGATCTTTTCATTATGTGTCATAAGAGAGAAAATGAAATTTTTCTATGAAGTATCAAAATGTAAATCTTTTAAACTTCTGCTTATGGGTAGAGATATAGATAAAAGATTTCTTAGTAAAAAAATAAACATTTACAATACAAAAACAAATTCATTTCTTTCTAAGTCTATTCAACTTTTGATTATAAATGAAGACATGAATAAATTAGTTCCCTACGTTATTGTTTATTCATTCGTGTAGTGATGTGTTCTGATGAGGGTATTATCTTTATTAAAAAAAAAGCATTCTTTTCTGACTGAATACAATTGAAACATTTCTACTTGTAATCGAATAATTTCTCCGTGGTAAAGGTGAATAGTTTAACCTCCAATAAATATGATATTTTTAATTACCAGTAAAGTTTACATTTATTCAAAAGTAAATATTTAAAACGATTTATATATATTTCACAAATAATTTCTATCACACGAGTAATTTTTAAAGTTTACATATATTAATTTGAAAAGTTGTTTATTTCGTTACACAATATATTTAAACTTTGACTGCGACATACATAAACATTATCAAGACATAGCTGTCAATATGTCACATATCGATGTTTTTTTTTCTTTTCTTGCTCGTATGACTAGTTCGTATTGATTTGTTTTATTCTCTTAATATTTTGATGTATTGTATGTCTATAGACATATCTACTAAGATAAAATACGCGCAGTGATGCGAATCGGTGACGAAAAAAAAACGTTATATGGTAAAGAAGATAGAGAAAAGATGAAGATTCAAAGGTTAGGATTAATTTATTCAAGGGTTCTGAATAAAAAAAATTCGGTGACTAGTTGCGCCTACGCTAAACTACAACAAAAGAAAAATACAGTAACCATGTTTTATATAAAGGTACGACTTTTACCCTATTATGTGCCTTTAGTTTCATTTGATTTTAGTAATTATATTCGCCAGCAACAAAGATGTATGCTCCACCACCATCCGTTGCTGCACGTCGTAACCGTGGGTAAATAAATAAAATTTGACTCTTTCGTATTGTCTATATCAATTTTTAATTTTTGTTAAATAGATCTGGCTTAGCTGCCGGCGGTCCACTTTTGGCTATATGTTGCCTTGGATTTATTCTTTTTCTTATTGCTGCAACGATTGTTCTTGCATTGATACCTGTGTATCTATCAAAAAGAGGCGGTGGCACACCAAGTAAAGATTATTTATTCTGAATTTCTTTATTTTTTTATTACATTTTGTGTATTAAGGCACAACTACTCCAACTTATCTTTTGACTATGAATTCTCGAACAGTGCCATTACCTGAGGGCAATTTGGATTCTGCATCACTGGCCGACGTTGGTGCTTCAGTAAATATATATTTGAATATAAGAGTATTCAAGATTGTATTATAAATACATTTACTATTGTAGGTGGACAAAGCGTTGAATATACCATCTGGTTCAACTCAAGTTACGGCTGGTGCAGTTGAAGCAACAAATGGTAAACGTAAACGAAGACAGTCGTAAGTACTCAACTGAATAATAAAGTGTTGAATGTATAGTTTAACTTCATTTTTTATAGCCGAGCTTTACGTAATAAACGTGGTGTTGATGGTACAACACTCTTGTGTACACTTCTTTTTAATAAGTTAAAATGTGATAAATGTGGTAACCTGGGATTCCTTGAGAGCATTAAATCTTTCGTAATCACAGATAGTATTGATATCGATGGTGTGCCGTATACTGATACATTTGATGCTAGTATTGACTTAATAGGTGAGTGAAGCATAAAAATATATCAAAAATATAAAATTTATTGCTTTAGATCACAGTTTTGGTCCAGTTGATTACGGTAAAGATATCATCTTTTATAATATCTTTTATTCTTCTCTATCATATTTTGTGTGTTTAGAGGATTCTGATTTTTTTGAAGCGGCTTTTCCTGCTGACAACACGACGCTACCTCTTGGTCCCGTAGATAAAAAGTCATATCCTCCCATTGAAGCCCAGGTAAACATATACCTGAATATATTAAAATCAAAAATTTTGCATTAACTGATATACTGTTATAGATAGCAAAGCAGAACAATGTAAAAAGTAATCAAGTTGTTATTACCAGTGCAAATGTGCAAGGAGCTACGAAACGTAAACGACGTGGATTGTAAGTATTCAACTAAATAATAAAATATCAAGTGTATAATTTAATTTACTTTATTAAAGTGCTAGTATGCGTGAACGTCGTTCTGGCAAATTCCTCGTTGTTATTTTCCATTTGGATGACTTACTTTGTCCCGACTGTGGTACTCCTACATTCTATAAATCTTTAGAAACTATACAAATCATCCTCGAGAATGTCGAGATTTGGTCAGGCGGTAATCCATATTTTATTACATCTGCTTGTTATCCGTTTGACATAACTACCGGTAAGTTAAACATTTGATGTGTATATTACTTAATCTTTATTATTTTAGGTACTACAACTACATCAGCACCTACTGCTAAACTTTCTGGTTAATGTTATTCCAAAGTACATTCTATAAACATTCATTTTTTTCTTTTCTAATCTTTTTTTCATACTAATCTTTTTTTCATACTAATCTTCTATATTTTAATCTATAACCAAAGACATTTTTATATTGATTATTTTTTTTAAATCACCAATCACAAAAACTAACAAAAAAGTTTCTTATATTTTTTTTTCATAAATAAATTCTTTGTATTGCTCTTATTAGTTAGAAAATTATTGTATTAATTGAAATTATATATTCGATAGAAGTGCTTTCCAAATGAAAGCAGCAATATTCCTTCATACTTTGACTAACATAAAAATAAAGGACTAATTTTACGCATTAAATGAGCAACTTTAAAATATTATTCGTTATTTTTTTTTATCTAAATAATCTGTTGGCAAAAAGTTTCGAATATTTAGTATTTTCATACTTATTTTAAAATATATAATAAAATTGTTTGAGTACTGTCGCTCTTTCGTTCATACAAAATTTTTATTCAAAAGAAAATAATAGCCTGGATTTACTAATATTATACGTAAATTAACTTTTATGATTGTTATCTACCAAAGCATGAAATAATATTACGACCGATTATATTAGAACGCACCGAAAAATAATTGCGCCTAGTGTTTTGTTGACATCGATGATTAGCCCTGTTTTGATGATAAATTATAGATAAATGTAATTTCTTTTGACGTGTGTTTATCGACGATAAAGGGTGTATACTTTAAGTTAAACAGGTGGGTAATGACGAAAAAAAAGGCGTTCTACAGTCACATACGTAGATTCGTATTATTTTCGATGTTTATGTAGAAAAAAATATTCATTTTATATTGCAATCATCTCAGCAATGGAATATCGGAAAATTCTCGTTTAAACACGAGATTAATATATATCAAGATCGAACAGATATCACATGTTTCCGATTTTGAACAAGAGTTTTTTTGTTTATTTACAGGAAGTGTCGCAAAAACACAATTTTATCTTTTTTAAATTTCAAGAAACTTAAAAAGTAAAGCAAAATTTAATTTCGTGATTTCGAAATCGAGCTTCACATCGCATTTTATAGACGAGTCTCGACTTGTGTGACATCTAGCTATTATTTTAAAATTTAACTTATACAATTAAATATGTAAACTTGTTTGAGTGTAAATAAGAGTTTGAAATTTTACAATAAATTTGATTACTCATTATTCTGATGATAAATAAAAGTTAATTTAATATTTAATTAAATGATTTTATTCACTTTTATCTCGAGAAGCGTATGATTAATATAAACAAAAAAAAGAAAATTTATTATTATGAATTAATAGACGTACTATATAAATAAAACAAACTTATTTTGACATAAATCGTATTTGATTCATTTAAATTGCTCATCATAAATTTGTTTTTATGAAAAGAAAACCAACTTCATTACATCAATAACAAAAAAAAGATACAAAATAGATACCTTTTTATTTTTTTTGTTATTGTCGATTCTGTATGAAAGAAAAACAAAAACATTGTAATATGCATGATTAACTAAAAGTGACCTAACAGAAAGCTTGAAAAGAAGTCTATGTCTTTTTTTTTTATAGATTTGGAACTAGATCTCTTATTTGAATGACATATATCGTAAGCATGTCGTCCTAGCTAGAGATCAAATTACTTGATATGACTAACTCAAAAGAGATGAAGGCGTACAATGACCATGCAACATCATAAAGGAAAAGTGATGCAAATCGAAATCTACATCATTTTTACTATAAAGCAACCCTAGAATCAATAAAATTCAAATTATTCTGTAGATTTTAATACAAACAGACGAAAAAATATAAATATAACACTTCAAAAAAAAGTCTATAAACTTATGTAACGATCATATATTTTTTCGCTGATACTTTTCAGCAAGAGTTTCTAACATGCTGCTTCTTTGAATATTATCGTGAAAATATACGATTGCACTATGAATTAATAGAGAAAAAAGAAAAATAGTCTAGTTCATTCTATATATTTTTAATGTAATATAACAAAATGTTTTGTTTGTTGATCATGTTCAAATTGGTGATCTAAATCAAAATGATTTGCCAATACACTTAAACAACTTAAACTTAAATGTGCATGTTTTGTTATATAAGTATACCAATAAGATGATGATAAAGCAGGTAATAATGCATCCGGGTTTGTTTGTTCAAATTTTGTTTCATCATTATCAAAGATAATTGAATCCGATGGTGAAGTAAAAAAACTTGAAAAATATTTTGAATGATTTCCTTTCGTATATAATTCGTTATTTATTGATAATTGATTTGATTTATAATGTTTAGTTGTATGAATAATTGTTGGAGGTATATCATACTCTAATTCCTCAACAATAACACCTGCTAACCAATTGGTATTACGTTTTAATGCATTTATATCGGATTTAATATGATCACCAAAATAAATAACTATTGGATCTTTATTACTTATTTGACTCATAATTAAATGTAAATCTTCACTATTACCTAATGAATAAATATAATTTTTATCGAAGTTTTTAATAATATCATCATTTGTAACGGAAATAATATTATTGTCATTATCAATTGATCGATGAAATAAACGTTTATTTGTATTAGATAAAAAAAATGAAGGTTTTTTACAATCAACAATAATTAAATGAAATAAATCTTGCCAATCATTACCAAATGCATATGTTGCTAATAAATTTGTATAATCAAAACGTGAATTTGTTGCTAAAAATAAATATTTATTTGATTTTTTTAATTTTTCTAACCATTGTCGAACATCTAAACGTTGATAAATAAATTTTTCAGGATTTTGACGTATTGATGAAAAATAATTTCCACGATTAAAATCACTAAATAAATGTTCGAATCCATTTGTAAAATCTGCTAAAAACCAACTATATTTTTCATTTAAATTAATATTTTTTGTTGATGAATTTTCAAATAA